GGGCCTCGCAAACGAATTTCGCCGACGCCGACAAATGGTCTAGCGCCGCCACTGTCTGCAAATAATTTTCACGAGGATTAATTGAAAAATATATTTAAAATATTTATCAACAATAACAACTTGATTGATGAAAACAAAAAAAACATATATTCAAACGTATTTATTCATAAAATTCTATATGTATTTACTCATAAAATGGTTTTTTCTTGGTGTGGTATGTATATCTTTTAATTATTTTATTATAAAATTAAATTGATTTTTTAAAACTTTGTAAATATTTTTTAGATACTTTAACAAAGAATTGCTGAATGATGACACACAATCCGTGTCGAAACGTATATTATAAATAAATATTTGTATTTATTTGTTTCTTTTATTTCGACGACTGGCTGAAAATCATTATGATATGTCTCAACGTCGAACAAAAAAATCTAATTATTATTATTATTATTATATATATATATATATATATATATATATATAAATAAAAAAATAAATATTAATATAATAATTAATGTAAATATAGAGTAGAGTGGAGATTCAAGGCGAGCGGTTAAAAAAATCCATTTTAATTTACGTTATTTAATTGTTTCATAATATGCATTGAATTTTTTTTATCTCAGATGCAAAAGATTTTTTTATATACCCTCTATAAAAAATTACTTGTGGTTGGAGTAAAAAGACCAACTGAACCTTTATGCTGACAAAGGTGTAAAAAACAAGATAATAGTAAATATAAAAATATAATATATTAAAAACAAAATTATTCCAATAGTTATAGTTATTCCAAATCTTAATGTTTAGGTATTATCTTTGTAAAAATGTGTCACTGAAATTTGTATTTGCCATCGGGTAATTGATGTATCTTTAATTTCGAAAAATCACTTATAATTAAATATTAATCATTGGGTGTGTTTGCCCCTCATGGGGTAAACGGGGGCATGTAATTTTTTTTAAAGTAAATGAAAATAAACATATTTCTATATTCAGGTAATTACTGGGTAATTTTCTGAACATATTTCGATATTTAGTTGTTTGATATGTTTTATGTGCTGTAATGTATGTTGGTTAGTTTTTACAGTATAATTACTGCACATATGTTCATAAGCTTATATATTGGAATACTGAATTGGATATTTCACTAGAACATGAATCTTGGAATATTAAAATAACGATTTATTAAAACTCTCCTAAATGGCAGAGTTTTTTTTGGAATAGTTGGCCCGTGGTAATCATATATATTTACATATGTATATATGTTGAATGTTCGCGCGTTACAATTGCGTAACATATAGATTGACTTTACGGTAGTCTTGTTTCACGCCCTTTTCAGCGCGGGAATTCATTCATTGGTATCCTCTTCCACTCGAGAATTGCAGAATTTATAAGTATTTTGCCACCGCAGTAGCGGCTTCCAAGTGGAAAGAGTTATTGCTTAGCTGGTTATTGATAAGTATGTGTGTTTAATTACTTCGTTGTATTTATATATATTGTATTAATTTATTTCAGCGGAAAGCGTTAACGATTAGTGTAAATAATTGTGTAATAATTAATGTTTCTAACATTTCAGAAGTGTGAATGAACTACCCCACATGGTGATAAGCAGTGGTGTTGTGCTAATATTTTTTTTGCCGGAACGCTAAAATTTAAAATCCGGTTCAAAAAATTTGATATATTTCGATAAGAACTCACAAATCTAATATATTGACTTCTTATATAATTAACTCTATTATATACAGCTAGTCTATACATTAAATTGTACAAGTATGAGGGAATCATTGAGTACATAATTTATATTCTTTATCTGTCATCTTCAATGACATTAATTATATTTATTTTGGTATTATTTGTATTCATTAATACCTACAGGTATTTATTATGATATGAAAGTACTCAAGATTTATTACAATACTTTATAAGACTTAACCTAATATGATAGATAACCTATTACCTATCATACTATACTATATTATATTATATCATAGATAGATATCTATTATCTATCATACCGTGAGATACCTATACCCTCATTAACTTATTATATACCTACATATCTTTTACTTCTTATAAATACTACTGTCTAATTTATATATTCACCTATATTATATAAGTTTACCTTACGCCCTATGTATTTTTTTTATTACCTCTACCTATCTATTGTCTATACCGGGAATTGAACCCGGGACCTCCGCGTGGCAGTCGCGTACCTTAACCACTACCCTATCGGGTATCCCCACCATTAATATAATATGGGCCGCACTGTTGTTACCGCGGGTCATTTTCTAATTAATTAGATAATTAATACTAAGGTGGCGCGACGAAACGCGGAATAAGACGATTGATTGTAGCGTTACGGTGGTGTAGTGGTTAAGGTCGTAGCGTGTCACGCGGCGGACCCGGGTTCGATTCCCGGTAAGGGTACAAATAGCGCGTAAGAAAAATTGTAGGTAATAGGATATATAGTAGATATAGATAGGTTATATAATGTAGGGATTGAGAGTATATGATTAAATATAGCGTACGGTATAGATGTAAGGCGCGTAGTATAGAATGCAAAGTATAGGCATACGTAAGGCTATAAAAATATACGAATAGGAACCTATGATGTAGGTGTTAGCGTATAAGAAATGCGAATGTATATAAGATTTAATTTATAAATATTATTTTTTCTATAAGAATTTTTATCTCGGTATTAAATATCTAAAATATCCGTTAAGGCATCGATTACACCTTACTGCTGCCTTTGCCGTTATCACTTCATAGAAAATTAATTATTAATTTTAAACGATTGTGTGCACTGTGCGACAATAGACATAGAACTATAAATTTTATTAAATGTTTGAGTAACTTGTGCGAGCTGAATTTCTCTTAATGTTCTTAGTCTCGCAACTTACTGAATTCTAAAAATTCTAAATTTAAAAATATAATATAAAAATTATTATACCGCTGTCTGGAAGGGATGGCAATTTATAAGTATACAGATTAATACATCCAGAATTTGGAATTTTTCTATAATCCGTAATATTGAGAAAGTTTGCATTAGACCTAAAAAGGGATGCGTATTTACCTAAGCTATGGAAATATACGGAAAACTTATATGATTTGCACATGCATCCTGTGCTCACTTAAACTAAACAATGATCATAATATATTTAACGAATTTTTAACAGTATTTACAAATTACATTCAAATCATCCAAAGCAAGTGGGTTAAAGTCGTGTAATTTTTTAATTTGTTTCCCCCCTCTGAATTTAAAAATGGATTTTTCTGCCCCACGTTGGGAATTACTAGTCTAGGAGTACAATTTTTTAATCTACTACCAGGTTAAAATAATTGAGTGATCATCAATTCCACAGCACCTTCATCAGATTTTTAAAAGATCAAAGTTTCTATGAATATGCATACAAATCTCAAATTGTAGGCCGAAATTGAGACAATAAGTCTATTGAAATATCAGGGTAACTCTTTTGCTATAAATTGTCAACTAATTTACCAATAAATAAATGTCAATAAAACAATGATTAAAATAAATTAGCAATAAATGTTAGATTGTAAAAATTTACAAGCGATCGACGGCTTATATTTTTGCCTTAGATGGCAAAAAATTCATCCAATTATTAAAATATTACATTTTTTTGCAGTTTTTATGCTTTTGTATTTATAGAATTGCTTTTTTTGTTACAATCAATTTCCATTATATGAATGTCTTAAATTATTTATTTTATTCGACTAACGCCCGCTATGTCCGAAACAAGTCCAACTTATATCCGAAATATTAGGGCATCAGACACTTTTCGGTCTTAAAATAACATACGCGAAATTTGAAATACACTTATGTATTTCAGTTCATACACCTCAATTTGTAACTAAATTAAAAACGACTTTGATAAAACCAGTGGTGTTGTGCTAATATTTTTTTTTGTCGGAACGCTAAAATTTAAAAACCGGTTCAAAAATCGGTTTTCATGTTTTTTCCGGTTCCGTTCGAAAAGGAAAGAAACAAAAATTATTACAAAACCCATTTTGTTCACATATATGTATGTTTATTACAATAATAACATTTAATAAAAATTAGTTGAATAATAACTTATAAAATTTACTTATTAAATCATTTTCTGTATGTAGCGATTTTTTTATATTTTTTCTTGCCGGAACGCGTTCCGTCCCAAAAATGATTTGCCGGAACGACGTTCCGGCGCGTTCCGGCTCGACAACACCACTGGTGATAAATTTCATGTTATGTTAATATTGTTTTATTTCAGCATGATTCTGTTTCAGGAAAGTAACGCTGTGCCAAAATAATAACGTGTGTTTTCAGGTTAGGTCTAAGGGTACTGCTTTAAATCGTATGCCGATTTAGAAACAGTACGTACACCTTTGTTCGTGCAAAGTGATTGTTGACTTTTGTAGTTTGTTTTTTTGTAGACTCCTAAGAGGAAAATGGAAGAAAACGCAGACGTGTTTGAAAAGTTTCAGAGCAAGCTGAACGCCGACGGTACGAGCAAAATGTGGTGTTGGAGAATGCACTAAGTCATTCAGTAAGTGCGAGACATGACTGAGACTGAGAACCACACCAATACCAGATAATTTAATACGAGCATACTAAAGTATGAAAGGTTAATCGCAGACAAAAAAGCAGATATGGGTGAACAAGATAGGAGATACTGCAGAAACTTACAAAAAGTACTCTTTTAAATGCTTCAAGTGTAAAGAGAGGGGACACATTGCTTGTGCCTGCCCAGTTTCGACCGAAAACTGAGCCAGAGGCTAAGACTCTTAGTGGTTATATGTATCACCCATGGTTAGGATCTGTCTGTGAGTAAATACCTAAAATTAGTAACCGCAGATCATAAGCAATTTAATGCTATGGTTCCATATGTACTATTAATAAGTCACTGGTGACTGATGCAAAGCACAAGGTATGGCTTAGCCCTATTACGATGAAGATCTGAAGACCGAAACACTTTATGGTAGAGTCTGCTGCAGCAATCATTGGGACAATGGAAGTGGAGAAAGTTATGGCAAAGGATGTTCTTGTTAAGATAATACCAGGTGATACACAACCCGTGGATGTGATCATCGGACGGACATTCACTGAACTGCCACACTTATACTATATTAACAGAGACAACAAACTGACAATCATTTACAATGAGGAACATCCGTTTGCAAATATGAAAGCGATTGGAACAGAGACATTACTACCTCTGCACAGTAGACTTAAGAGTTACAGATGAATAGACTGACTTGACTGTACCAGTACTAAAGTTGGATGACCAATCTGTTCATTTACCAAAGGAGTTGGCGGTATACACAGCGCAAGTTTACACAGTACAGCGACGAACACAAACAGAGGCTAGAACTGAACCTATAGTTGTGACTGACTTGGCCATGAGAAACCAACCCAGCGAAGTTGTAAATGAACTAATAAGTGTTCTAAATGATTACAGGTCATGCATCTCTAAAAGCATCAGAGAGTTAGTTCTAACCAGCAGCATGGAATTGAACCTCATGGAAATACCAGGCAGACCAATCAGATCAAAGCCCTTTCGAACCAGCAACTTAGAGATGTGAGAGATTAGCCGCATTGTTGGAGAGCTGAGGGAAGCTGGGATTATGACGGATACCGAATCTCCTCATACTAGTCCAGTGCTACTGATCATGAAAAAGACTGCAGACTCCCGTATGATAGTCGACTACAGAGTTTTGAACAGACAGACAGAGCAAATAATTTTTTCCTTGGATGACTATTTGGCATTATTGTTTACGTTGGCTAATAGTACAATGTTCATTGTTTCAGATTTAGGCCATGGATACTTTCAGGTTTCCTTAACGTAAGAGGCAATGAAGAAGACTGTTTTCATCACCCCAGACGAGACAGGTCAGTTTACGAGGATGGTGTTTGTGCTTTTGAATGCACCGTTCTATTTTTCCAAATTAATAACAAAGGCCTTGGGATCGATGAGAGATAAAGTTGTATTGTATTGTCTTGATGACATCTTAATTCCAGGAAGGAACTGGAATGATTCGCGGAAAAAGTTGATAGCTGTACGAGAGGCATTAAAGAAAGCAGGCCGCACTATCATGCTTTCAAAGTGCGAATTTCTGAAGAAGAAGGTGAGGTCTCGCGGCCTTGCTTTTGCAGAGAGGGGATGACCAGCTAATGCACCTTTTCTATGTCATCAGTCGCAGATCTGGCGAGCCAGAGGTAAATTACCATTCCAGCTAACTACAACTCGTGTCCATAATATGGGGCGTAACCAGACTGAAGAGTCTGTTAATTAACCTGCATTTTGTTATTATTACAGATTGTCAGGCGTTAGCATTCTTAAACGCAAATAAAACTATCAATCCACAAATTGTGATTTGTACACACCATTTTGTCAGAGTTAAGCTTTGACATTGAATATAGATCAGGTTAGAAAATGCAGCAGGTGGATGCATTGAGCAGGACTCCAACTAACTCCAAGAAGAAGCATCTGCCATGGACCATCTGGAGGATGTTGCTACCATCTATACTGGGATAACCAAAGAGGATGAGGTGTTACTATTTACTATTACTAGTTACTAGTTACTATTCTATCTTATTGTTTTTCTAACTGATTTCTTCATTATTCTTTCTCTTCTAAATCTGATCTTCTTCAATTCTAATCTTACTTTTTCTTTTTAATTCCCATTTTTTACTCAAATTCAACTCAGCTCAATTCTGATCTTCTCCAATTCTAATCTTTTTTTTTGCTTTCTTCTTCTAATTTTTATTCAAATTCAATTCAACATTTCTAATTATAATTTATTTAAAATTAACTATTTTTTGAAATTCTACATAATTCTCTTTATTATCGTCGACGAAAGTTTGTATCCGCACACACATACACACACGCACACACATACATATACATCCATTTTTTCGAAGGTATGCCAAAATATTCAGAAACCTTTGAAACGTAAAGATATATAAAAATCTTCATTTTCGATTTTTTGCGATTTACCCTACGGGAAGTTAAAAATTTACTTTAAATGAAACATTTTGCTTGTTACAGGCTTTGTGGGTACTCCGTATTTGATGAAAAACTGTCTCATGGATGAAGCTAGATTCCGTGAGTAATAAAATATAATAAAATTGAATTATGTGAATGAATGGAAGATATTAGACACAAGAATTATTTTAGAAAGAGGAGTGTCGATTGTGAAGAGTGCAGTAGGATCAGGGTCATATCGAATGTTAATGGATTGCAACTTGGTCTCAGGTCTTTTCACATTGTTACATTTTTAAGGTTTATTTATATATTTCATTGCATTCATTATATTAATTACTTGTAGAGACTGTTTTTGTGGGTCCTGAAATAGAAACAAGACCTGTCCAGATATATGATGAAAGAAGTATTACTCCCATGGAATCGGATGACAGGTTTCCCGTGGAATCAGGTGAAAGCCTTTCGAAAGATATATGCCACACACCAAAGCATTCAAGACAGTTTTTAAAACCATCAACAAGATTTTCACTAATTTATCGCCAAGGTACTTGTGTGTAAAAATTCTAGTAATAATAATTAGTGATTCAAACACTATTATATTGTATTTTCTTTATAGATGTTCTAAAAAAAAAATGCAAACTGTTGCAGAGTGTGAAACAGAAACGCAGTAATACTTTGACAGAAGTTCGAAGGATTAATAAGAAATACACTAATTTAAAAGATAAAATGCGACAGAGCATTAAATGCGCTGAAAAATTCTCTTGTAATCCATCAACATTGAATTTTAGGGCAAGGAATTTCATACAATGTCAATTGAGAGAACACATGAAAAAGCCAAACGGAAGAAAGTTTTCGTTTGAAGATAAAATCTAGGCATCAACACTTTATAAAAAATCTCCAAAGGCTTATTATTTTTGGAGACAGATATTCATACTTCCAAGTCCATTGCATGTCGGTATTATTGAAAGCTTATTTCGATCATTAGGAGCTGCCATTTCACGCAAGAAAGATAATTCTAGTAAATATTGCATACTAACTAATATATACTATATATAATTTCAATTTTCATATTTGCAAATGGCAAACAACTTCTATTTGCGGATCATGCGCTTGTATTCATGACCAAGGGTGCCAAAGAACGGTGGAAGCTTTTCTGAAGGCGGAGTTAACAGATCTGAAAAGTCTTATTGTTACAGTTTTGAAAAAAACATTCAGTATTGGCCTAAAAGTCATTGCTACTGTTTGTGATCAATACTCGGCAAATTGCAAGGCAATAAATATGCTATCGAAAGAACTGAACAAAGCATCTCAATAATGTGTATTTCGAAATAGACGGAAATGAAATAATTCCCTTATTTGATCCTCCACATTTACTGAAGTGCATGCGTAATAATTTTGTTAATTAAAATGTAAAATTTACGAACATAGATGGAGATGAGTATGAAGCATCTTAGAAAGATATAATAGAATATTATAATTATAATGGAAATTCAAGATTATTTTGTCGATGTCCTTCGTTGACTGAACATCATTTAGACAATACGAAAATGAAAAGAATGAAAGTAAGTCTTGCTGCACAAGTTTTTTCTCATTGCATAGAGGACGCCATAATATGGCGTAACCAGACTGAGGAGCCTGTTAATTAATCTGATTTTTGATATTTATGGATTGCCTGCTTGGCAGTGTAAACGGTTTATCCAAATTACCATTAAATAGTAAATTATTTCGTTGTGCTATTTGTAATTGCTCCCAACATATAAAATTTCGGCATGTGGGCAAAAAACTATTGAATTCAATACAATTCATAAAGATCAAAGGTTCGGTTCAAGTACTAACAAAGCCTATGGAAGGTTTCAGGTATATGTCTAAAAAATAAAAGTAATTCTAGGATTTAATTATTTATGTACAAGGAACTTCAACTAAGATCCTTTGGAGAATTTTTTTGGAAGCATAAGGAATCAAGGAGTTACCAATACAAATCCTACATGCCATGCTTTTATTTCTGCCTTTAGAACATTGCTGATCAATAACTTATCATCTCGATATTTACTATCTTCTAATTGTGAGATGGATGATAACACTGGTTTGCTCACTACGTTCCGAGATTTTCTACATGCTGAAGATATCGTTAACATAGATGATATAAATGATCTATCGATTACTCCACTGTGGAGTCTCCACAACCATTTGATTTTCAAAATTTATCATTGTACAGTAAAACTGCAAGTGCAGGATACTGTACAAAAAAACTCATGCAATGTGTTGGCAAATGTAATTTCTGTGCACTAGATCTGCTGGCTAGTCCAATTAGTGCAACTGAGTCTTCATGGATAGCATCAAGGAATTACACAGGACAATACATATTCGGCCCCGAAACTTTATTTTTTAAATTATTCATGGAGTGCAGTCAGGTACTAGATTATTTCATGGGCACATTATGTATTGAAAATAAAATAAAATTAAAACTTAAAATTAAGCTAGAGAAACATGTTTAATATGTATAAATTTTCGTGCAATAAACATAATTTGAAAGAAATGTTTTCAGATTCGTTCACATTATTTTTCATCAATATTTGAAATGTATGAATGAAAACTGTAAAACGTTATCTAACAGATAAATATGTGGACAAACATGAGCAAGACCCTGTAAAGAAAATGGCTCTAGTCAAGCATGAGAAAATCCTCCGGGCAAATAAAGTGCGACTGAGGAAAAAAAAAACTTATATTTTTCCATGAGTGCTACAAGATGATCTATATAATATGCCGTCGATATCCTTCCAATTATAATATAAATATGTTCTGTTATAATTTGTAATGTAATTTTTCCATTAAGTAATAATTAATTATATTTCATTGGCTTTAATAATTCTTGGGAGAACAAATTATAATATAATTGTAAATATATCGTTTGCTTTAATGTTTTGTTCTCATTTCATGTATTCAAATTATTTACCGTTTCTATATTATAGATAACCTAATAAACCTTATCTAGAATTAAACCTATAGGTAAATTTACATGGTACAGATAGTGACATCTACAGAATGCTGAATTTTCCATCTATTTATACTTGTTTATATATGGCAATATCCAAGACTATTCAAATATGAGGAAGGTGATGGCAATAGGACTCCATGATTATGGCGGACTCTTTGAATTAGATCGTACGTTGAATCAGATGCTGCAACAATTTTATTTTTTTCCAGGAATGCGTCGATATATTAGACAACATATTAAACGGTGTTTGCACTGTCTGATGAAGCCCGAACTGGTAAGAAGCAAAAGAGCTGCATCCAATAAATTCTGGAGAGATGCCGTTTGCAATAGTTCCTGCAGACCATTTGGGATCTTTTGTCAAGAGTGGCAAACAGAACAAATATATACATTAATTTGTAATTTGACTTAATTTTTTATGGTGGATCCATGCGTTCAGAAAGATGGTGGACTTCGTGCTAATATATGGAGCCTTAATATGGTTGATTACGGATCGAGGGACCTCCTACACAGCCAAGGGATTTCAGGAATGCGCGAGACACGGAAAATTCGACACAAGCTGAACTCTCCGCGACATGCACAGGCCAACGGATAAGTGTAAAGGATGAACACTGGAGTTCAAAGCTGTCTTTTCTAAGTAAGTTTTCTTATTAGCTAAATGAACAATTCTGTAGTAACTTATATCATTGTTGATTTGTCTATTTACAGACACAATTGCAAGAGTTTTAACGTAATGCTCATAAAGTGTCGTGTTTATAGCAGAGAAGTCAACGAATTGTACAATGGCAAAATAAATGCCGATACAAGATGCCGAATATGAGGTTCACGTGTGGAGGCTTGAATAGTCTGCTTAAATTGAATGATGAGTCGATTCTGCCGTAAATTAGACCAACGTTATGGCAAAGCTATGTTACATGACAGTTTTCATACAAAATCATACTAAATCCTGTTTTATATAGTTTATGTAATAAAAAGTAAATCACAAGTTATTGTGCAAAATAATATATATTTACAAAACTACAAACTTATATGAATTGACATTATTGTTATTTGCAAAAATATTTTAGCGTTCTTTACATATTTGTGAAACAAAATTATCTTTATTTCTACTATTTACAAATAGGAAAAAAATCATGATTATTAACAAGTTAATTGTATTAAGGTTAGTGCAAACTTTTGTGCTCTGTACACATTTTTCAATGTAGGATACCAGGTACAATATCCATTGATGATGATATCAAATTGTATGTCGAAACCTTTGGAATTAAAGTCATAAAAGAACTTACACACACACACGCATATATATATATATATATATATATATATATATATATATATACACATATATATATATATATATATATATTAGATAATTAAGTATTTGATTTGTAAGTATTGTGTAAAGCTTCGAACAGAGTATCAAATCCAATGATAATAAAAACCAATGTTTTTTTTGAAAAATATTTATTTATATTATTTTTGATTAATCAGTAATATGAATAATATCTTCTCCATCAACTGTTTTTGTAATATTCATGATTAACGAAAGTAATGAATTTTAGCAAATCCTTCATGTCTCTCAATTTTTTCTTTATCAAAGTTCTAGCTTTAGAACATGATGTATATTATTTAAACATTTCGGTCTACCTGGTACAGACATACTTATATTAATGACTTTAAAATTTGTATCTTCATTATAGTCACATTTATTGTATAAGATTGGGTTTCCACTTTTCCAACTTTATCCAGCGCAATTTTAAGCCAATTCACTGGACAACCTGTGCTGGTTACATTTTTGTTAATGATTGATTGTTTTAATGGTCTTGTTGAAAGATTTTGGTAAAATATTTGGATTAGCTGAAATGACACTTTCTTTTTACATGTTTTATTATATTGTACCAATCATCTGGTGAAAAAATGTCTTGATTTTTTTTCGCTTGTGACTCAATAATGGCAAAATCTTAAGTCATTGGGTAAATAGCTATTTCCACTGACCAGGAATGTCATTTCAATTGACTTAGCTCTTATTTTCGTATGTACTTTGAACAAGTTTCAATAAACTTAAGACAGTTTTAATATTTCTGTTTTGCCGGGTACATGAATTCCTGTATGTTATTTTTTTTATAAGTATTTATAAAACAGGATGAGTTTTCTTGAGAACCACGAAACCCTACAGTTCTTTGCTAAATACTCATATGTTTTATATTTTTACTAAATTCTTATTCGTAATTCATAAATTCGGAACCCCGAATTCCGGCCCAGCCGGAACTTATACAGTACAGAATGGAGTTAATCAAAAGAGGAGTAAGGAGTTTTCTGAAATAAATTACTTATTATTCAGTGGTAAAAAAAAAATCCGTTTCACGGTGATAATTATTATTATTCCGGAAAGTTATGCATATTATATTAAATTCAACAGATTTTTATATAACCTCTATCTAAAGGATAAATTAAATTAATAGTTATTCAAACTAAACGATATTTGGTATTCGTAAAAAAATTCATGAAATTTGTATTTGGCATTGGGTAAATAATGTAGCTTTAATTCGGAAAACCCCCCATAATTAAAATTAAGACATTGGGCGTGTTTTCCACATATGCGGTAAACCCAGACAGATGAATTTTTTTTAAGAAAAATAGCTAGTAAACATATTTCTATATTATGTATGTTTGATATGCGTTTTGTACTGTAAAGTACGTTGTTTACAGTATTTACAGTTTAATTACTGCTGATATGCTTAAGCCTATATTATATATTGGGATGCTGAATGCAATATTTCACTCGAAGAGCCATCTACCTAGCTCAACAATCAATCACGAAAGGGACTAGCGCTATTTTCTTCATAACTATATATAACAGAATCGTATTTTTGTTTAGATTTTTATTTATACGTATAACATAGCAACATGTTATAGGGTACCGCTTGTAATAAAATTAATCAAATTATGAAAATATTAATAAATGAATGGATTTATTAGAAACATTTGTTAAACAATTACTCTAATTATTCACCTTTCCCGCTGTAAGAAAAGTTTAATACGAGATACACAGTAATCAACCACACGTATACTTATAAATAAACAGCTTTACTCGTCGGCACATATAAATATAAAATAGGTGTTGCTTTTTGTATATAAAATTTTATATATTAGTTTATTATTTTTATCTTTAATTTTATTCTTAAACTGTTACAATTTTTCATACAATGCATTCATTCATACAATTTTTCATTGATGTAACGTTCAATTTTGAACCGATGTAAGTTTGATTCGGCTACACTTTACCATAATGCCTCAAATAAATTTTACAATGTGTGTATGCATACATACATAATACATACATGTATGTAATATATAATTATTTATATGAACTTGTTCTAATATTTTTAAAATAATGTTTGTACATTTTTCCAAATTCTTCTCATTTGTATTTTTAGATATTTTACACCTATGTTTGTTTTTCTATTTTCATTCAACATGTTTTCAATCAACGATTACAGTTTGATTCCATATACTGTATTTTCCATGTCCTACTTCTGCAATTTTCCGAACTTTTCACGTTAGCGCTGCTGTTCTTTCGTTTCAGCGACTCAACCAATGTCGTAATAGCTTCATGTAGCTCTCAAATTTTTAACCAGTTAACATGTCTGGATGAAAAAAAGCTTTTATAAATCTTTTCATTTAGTATTTAATTATTAAAAATTTCTTGTTATATAACTATGTGTTTTTTTTTAATTATTTGTTTGGTAAGTTTTTACATAGTATCTTATTTTATTTTTTGTTGTTTACCTTTATATACATCAGCAATGTATTTTTGACAAACATTTATTATTATATTGTTTAAATTTGTTATTATTCATATTTATAATTATATTTTTGTTAGTTTTGTAATTTTTCTATATTTTTCACTTGTAATCTTGTAATTTTTTTAAAAAAACATTTCTTTGTTAACTTCCCATAGGGTAGTTATAGTAATGGGCCGAAAATCGAAAATGAAAATTTTTGCATTTCTCGACGTTTTGAAAGTTTCTGAACATTTTGGCATACCTCAGAAAAAATGGACATTTTCACAGGTCCACATTTTTGGGCGCACGGATCAACCGATTTGAATGGTTTAAAAAACATTCGATTCCTATTGATAGGGAGATGTGCTGATTAGTTTTTGGCAAAAGCAGGTTCAGCCGTTACGGAGACACAAAGCAAAGAGTGCAGAAAATACAAATCAAGTTTTTGAGAGAATCGAGTATCGGATTTGAATGATCTAAAAAACATTCAATTTGTAATGATTGGGAGAAGAGGTGATTAGTTTTTGGAAAAGACAGGTCCCGCCATTTCGAAGATACAGAGCTAAATGTGCAAAAAATGGCAGTTTTTGAGAGAACTAAGCGTTCGAACTGCATGATCTAAAAAACTTTCTGCTTGTATTGACAAAACAATTGCTTGTGAGGATAAAAAATTATTATATCTTTTTTATTTTCCATAAAATATTTTTGTAATTTTAGATTAAAAATTCAAAAAATTACCCAGGCTAAGCACAGTCCAAGCCCACTCTCGTACAAATGTTTACCCAAGCGTGTTTAGACTGTTTATGTACTGGAGCATTTTTCCCATTTTGTGAAAACGATTGAAAAATGTAAAAATGCCGCCAAGCTAAGTACACTATAAGTGAAAATGTCGCGCAGAATTATTTGCAAATGCGTTTAGACTATGACTATACGGGAACACTTTTTCTATTTTGTGCAAATTAGGCAACTATTTTTTTGAAATTCAATTCGAAATGAAATGACGATTGTTAATTTTCTGGAGATAAATTGATTTATAATTTATATTTGATTTGCTCAGATATAACAAGATAGCAAAAATAATGAAAGTTACAGTATTTGTAATAATATATTTGAAATCGTTTCAAATTTCTCGAATATTTCATTACGGTACGGAAAGTTCAAGCAATTTGCTTTATGGCACGATGCCATACACCACTGGTTTAATTGCTTTCGACATTTCGGAACTAGGTACATTCCATCTTCAGGGTATCAGTCAAGAAACACGTTCTTGATAAGATTTAAGCAAACAATAGCAGAAGATAATGGATTTTTTTAATAAAAAATGAATAAAATTGTGGTAAAAAAAATAATGTACAGAAATATGACAACATAATCAAAATGAAAATGATAAAAATAAATGAGTGGATTATATAATAAAACATTAAAAATGTTAAAAATTAGAAAGTTATAGAAAGTTTTAAGAAAAGGTCATTGAAAAAAAAAACAGAATTAATTACCCGTATGATTGATTTTGCACTAACACTTTTTCACTAAAGTAGTTTTTATCAAAAAAAAAGTGATTTTATAAATTTCTTTTCAGACAAAAAACAAATTTTCTAATTCAAAATTTCTTTAAATTATGTCGTTTTTGAGTTTGTTATGTGAGACAAAAAGTATTATTTCCGGGATGTTATGAGACAAACTATTGGTAACGAAAAGAATAAAACTGTATTTAAAAGTTAAAATTCATGTTAGGCATGTAGAATATGGGCATAAAAAGTTTGAAAACTACTGAAACTACTCTGAATTCTCAATTCTCGTTATATCGATAGCTATCGAAATACCCGCCGAATATATGGCGCTGCCGGTCAGTCGCATGTTGGGTTTTGTTAAGGTGCGTCCACACCTAACGAACGAACACGAACGAACATGTCGAACAAGAAAATACAAAGAAGAACGAACAGGAACACAAACGAACGCAAAAAATTCCAAACGAACTTGAACAAGCGCTTAAAAGCAGTGAGCGCTTGAATTTTCGTTGTTCGCAGATGTTCCGTGAAACGTCAGTTTTATTATTGATATGGATGTAAGCTTTAATCATACGGCATTTTCACTGGTTTTTGTGTGATTTTTGTTCGTGTATATTTTGTAAATATACTGTAAATAAATTATTCAATTAATTTCACTCAGTTTTTGTATTTAATATTTATATTTTGAGTCGTTTTCTTTTCTCAGCATTCATATTTGGAGCAAGCTGAACATTCCAGGCTTGAGCTAACTATACTCAATTTTCATACTCTCATCCTCAACATATATGTTGAATGTCTATGTATGATAACAAGTTTGATATTTACTTGTAAAGACTGCAATCATACTCTTCTTTTATCTATGACTGCAATTTCTTCTTTACTGCAGCTTCTGACATCCCAAACGTTTTGCCTACACTTTCCCAAGCATCGTTTTTTTTTCTAATAATTTTATAAAAAGGGTCTTTAGTCTCCCATATTATAGGAAATTTTTCTATTTCATTTATGAATGATGAAATTACGTCATTTGACCATTCCATAATTTATTCAAAATTTTCAAACTGTACACAATAATTAAAAGTAAATATTATTAAAATTTTCAAACATTAAAATTAATAACATTATTATTAAATTTAAAAAAATTATTATTAAATTATTAAAATTATTAAAACAAAAATGTTCGTTTGCGTTCGTTGAGACGTCCACACTGCACATACGAGTTCAAACATGAACGAACAATTCCCTTTGATGTACCGACAAGTTGCGGAACATTGTTCGCCATGTTTGTTTATGTTCGTTCGTGATCGTCGTGGCGTCCACACTATGCTGTTGCCGTTCGTTCTGGTACGTTTTTTTATGTTCGTTCGTGTTCGTTCGTTAGGTGTGGACGCACCTTTACTTGAAAGCGCGCGTTCGAAGTGCACGGTCGATGGTGTTTGGCGATTACATGTATCAGAGATAGAACGTAAAACTTCACTCCAATATTTACTAGGTAATTTAAGAAAAACAATTTATTTATTTTCGCCATTGTATACATATGCTTGAATTAATCATTATTCTCAAAATTCAGTACCGTACACGTTCATAATTGTATAGTATTGTTGAATGTTATGTCATGTATAAAAATAGAATGCAGTTGCATTTTTAAATTATGTCAGAATACGTAATATAGTAGTTTTTTGGGAATGATTGATACATGTATGCATGATAATTGAACTGCAATAGGTTGTTGTACATTTTCATGTTTCCTTATTTTGCCGACATTATTTGTTTGATTTTTTGACCTGTGGTAAACTTATTAACCTATATTTTTCGTGTTCTTCTTATGCAGCAAAAATGGTATCGTCGCACGTTTACGCAATCACATTTTTCACATTTTTGGTATGTGGAGCTGGAGGCACCCTGATTTATAAGCTACACCAAAGACGAACAAAAAAAAGCAGGGATAAAATTTTAACTATTCGGGTGAACAGAAAATTAGGAACCCGCTTGTTTGGAGAGGATGGAAAAACCAAAAAGGAAATTGAAAAGGCGTAAGATATATATTTCATATCTTGTTTGAGCTAGATTATCATTTGGTGTCTAAATTGTGCAATCTTCTGCAACTGAATCATTATCTATTTTATAATTTTGCCGGAGACGATTTATAAATGACAGGTTTTTAACAATACAAAATCTAAGTGGTTATTCTCAGAATTATTATCTACATTTTATTATTATTATTCTTCACTAAATAGAATAACCTCAATACAGAGTTAGTGTTTTAGCTATGAATTATAAAATAGTGCATTTTATATTTAATAAGTTTAACATTTCTTTAAGTTATAGTCACTATTCAAAGATAGTTCTGAATTTTATTTAAAGTTTTTTATCACCTAATCTCACTGAAAATTTATGATACAATTGCATTTTTAAAATTAACTATCAAATTTTATATCATGCGTACTTTCTGTTTTGTTTTTTATAAAAAAGTTACTTTTCCAGGAGAAATGTTGATATAACATTGGAAGATGATGGGTGTCGTGATATGCTTATCATAATATCTGCAACATCACAAAATGATTTAGATATTTGTCAACGAATTATTGCAAAGAAGTTAAAAGATGATGATGCAAGACCGAGTTCATTACGACCTTTTAAGGAAAAGATTTGGATAAGTTTACATGCCTACAGAAAGCTTACAAGTAACTAAAAAGTATTACATGTATGAAAGATTTATATGCATATGTGTGTATGTAAGAATTAATATTATGAATGCATACTTAGATTTTTATTTTTTCATTTTGAATTGAAACTTAAGGAATTAGTGATACTGATGCATTTTTTTATACTAGTGAATCCACGTTTGGAAATTACTTCTTTTGAGTATGAAGATAACGTAAAAATAGATGTGGAATTTCCACGTGATGGTAGAAATATGGCTGGAATACAAATTTCAGGAGACAATGAACAAGATGTAATGAATGCTAAAGACAAAATTCAAACTAAGGTAAAATATTTTTTTAATTTTAGGTAAAATATGTGCAGTATAAATAGCACATGTACATGATTAATATTATTAATTCTTGTTTTTCTTTTAACATAAAATTATTTTTTTTAAATATACTTCATTTTATTTGCAATAATTTACAATTAGTATTGTGAGATTTTTTGTAAAATAGTGAAAAAATAGTTTAGAATGGTGTCGGAATAATTTTACTTACTGCTTTATTTCGCTTCAGCTTATCAAAAGACTGTCGATTTGAATTCTGTTTACACTGCATTTTCTCCAGAAATGAAATGCTTGAAGAATTAATTGGAGTTCTGTGTGGTTTGCTTGAATGTGGGCAATAAAATTATTTTTTTTTATTTCAAAAAGCTTTTATTAATCCACTGTTTTACTATAATTTTATGTGTTTGTAACATTTTATATATTTTTATAATTTTTTATTGGCTTAATAACAAATTTTTATAATTTCATTTATATTTGTGTAATGCATGGTTTTTGGTGATACATCCTTTATTTAACATTGTTAAACTATGAAATATGACTATCTAATTCTACATTTCATTACATAAAACATTTAAATCTGTCATCAAAATTACTTTGTCATAGAGATTGAAATTTTTAACCCAATTTAACTAATAGTTTTGTTACTAATTGTTTTGGCTGTGATTTACTTTTATCATACCTGGAATGGCAAATGTTATGTAACTAAGTTGTGTAGAAATGTTTCCTCCCTTAGATAATTGTTTTAAATGTTTGTTGAATGTTGATATTGATGAATTTTTATTGTATTTGTTGTATTCTAATTGTTGTATAATATGTTAACTTCTATAAATAAATTTCTTTTTAACTTTTAACCAGATCTTTTATTTGTTTTACTTTATTCGACAAAGTTATAAATTTAAACATTTTGCTTTAAAATACTTAATTTATTTTTGTTTGTAAAGTTGCTTTTTTTTACAAAAAGCATAAAAAGTAGTTGTGCCTGAACATTATTTCATTACTGTAATCAAATGCAACGATTTTTTAATCATCATTTACATTATAAAGTTCTCATATTAATATTATTTCTTGAAATCATCGGTGTTGGTATATGATTACTAGTAGGAACTATTATTCTTACTTTTAATTAATAATTTTTTTTTTTTTTATTGCTGTGCTTCAATGGCCATTGGACGACTGCATTGCAATAGTAGTTGATTTACATCAATTAACATTGAATGATAACAATTTGCTGTGCTGTCATTAATCATATATTGTGGTGAATTTGTAGAAATTGTGTTTACTGTACTAGATTCTGCAATTTACTATACTTCCTAAATTACATTTGAATCAATTATTGACATCTCATTTTTTAAGATTGTTTTGTTTTTTTTTTTTTTTGATATATATTCAAATCAAATATTTTATTTGAGACGTTTTGATTCAAATGTGATTCAAGTTATCTTGCTTTTGTAATTCAACTTGAAATAACATCTTATATATCTCTATTTTTTTCATCTAAAACAATCTTCAGTGTTTTGTTTTTACTCAACAAATTTATATGAAGTATTAACAATTTTCAGCTTTAATTCACAAAGCATAAATGAAATTTTATATATATCACCATGCATTGATTTCATATATTGTAGATTACATAGACAATTTTTTTAACAGTTGAAACATCTACAGTAAGGCATTATTTCCTATGTTGTTTTAATTATATGATAGTTTCAATTGAAAAAAATTATAGGTATTAAAGAAAACGAATGAAATGAAATAATTATTGTCAATGTAAATGCTTGAACATATAAAACCAATGTGTAATTGAAATTATACATAACTACAGTTTTTGATGTAATAAAGTGGTGTGATTCTTAATGTGATCAATGCTATATATATATATATATATATATATATATATATATATATATATATATATATATATATATATAGTAATCGGGCATAAATTTATAAAAAATATGAATTTCTCTCAAAAATTTTCTTTTAATTCCATGGATTTAATTCACAAAATTTTATATACACACATCTGTAATTACCAAATAAAGTGTGTGTTAAAAACCTGAGTGTCGTATTGTTCATATTTAACATTTAATATATATATATATATACTAGCTGACCCGACAGACGTTGTTCTGTACCCACGTCTACAATTTTTCTATATTTTATACTAATATTTACTGCTTAGTTAAAAATAATAATTACTGTTTTTTGAATTACTATTTACACCAATATATGAGTGATGTTGAATGTAGAACTGTTTCAAATAAAATGATTGTTCTCAATTCCCACAGTTAACACTTTAATTATTCATTTAACAAATATTAAAAAATGTTCAATAAAATTGTATATTAAAAATTATACACTGCAATTTATAGAACCAATTTATTTCCAATAGCTCAATTCATTTTAATGCATTTAAGAGTTCTATAGTATTTTAGTCATACCTGTAGATGTGGATGTATAAATGAATGATTTTTTGTTTATTCACGACTAAAACATTGATTTTCCAAATTTATCACACTACAAATGATCGTCTGCCTTTGTGATTTATGGTCATAGCATAAGATACACGTGTTGAAAATTGAAATCTTTTAAAAAGTACAACAAATTCAAAAAGAATTAATTTTATTATTTTTATATATTTTATTTTTTCAATAATGTTGCCTATAATTTTTATAATTTCGTACCATATTTTAACTGGCTCTTAGTAATTTTAATATCTAAATTACATTTTTTCTCCAATAAATCAATATACATTATTGCTTAAGTTTATATTTGAAGTGAATTAAATTGTCAAATTCTGTTCACATGTGCTCTATTCAACTTACGATCAACAAAATTATTGCTCTGTGAATTTTTTGACTGTGCTCCAATTTACTTGATATTTTGGAAATAGGCTAATCTTTATCTTAAGTTCGGAAATGAAAACAATTTGCACTCCGTCACCATCCACCGCATTAATTGGATTATTACTCTTTTAATTCTGATTTTATCAGAACTTGTAATATACTATGATTAAATGAGCTACAACTTTCTCTATCATAAATTTTACCGTAACTTCTCTCATTGTGAAACGGCGAAGTTTTAAAGGGCTCGAAAGACCTCTGGTTGGACAGCCGCGCACTCTTTAATTAATACCTCTATCAATATTTGTGTAATGGAAAAATAATAAACAACAATAATTAGTCAGAAAAATACCTCGAATTTTCATATATATATACTTTTATACGTATTGTTTCAGAGATATTATAATGAGAAATTGGATGTTTTTTTAAAGTTTTTTTTCATGAAATCATGAGTTTTTTAAAAATCGTTTGTACTAAAGTTGTGGTATTTTCTGGAATCCATCAAGATCTCTTAAACCAAGTTAATTCTTGATGGAATACGATTATTTTTAAATTTGGTGGAAATGGCACTCAAACTATTTGATTTAAATAAAAAAACATTATATGCGTCTTTTATTTGCATGATAGTTTACTCATTTTACACGCAGAAGTACTCATTTTAAAGCTTATTTTGAGCACTATAAAAACCCATTTTCATATCTAGCCCAATAATGTTCCTAAAATACTTTAAAATAGCGATTTATTAAGATTTTAATTGATATAATTTTGTTCATTACATGATTTTCGTTAAAATGTATATTTTGGAAAAAAACATTATTAAAGATTTTTCTCTTATAATTAGTTCTTTTATCGATACCCAACGTTATTTTGAAAAAAGTAAAATTACACCACTGAAAAGAAATGTCATCCACCCGAGAAGTGGTAAAGGAGTCTAAATTGTTTTCACTTCTGAAGAGTAAGAGAATTGGAAAACAGTAAAAAAAGTTCAGACCGAAAGCGTTCCATAGAGTAAATATTCCGTACCCAATGACAAACATATGAATTTTTGACACAATGAAACTTCTAAATATTTTTTTTTGTATTGTGACTTAGTATAGTAAGGCAAAACGACTGCAAATTGAATATTTTTGAGCGCAATCACTGATGGCTCGTCTCCTTTGCACGAATTCGTACGGCGAATCTGTTCGCAAAGTGCGCAAACAAAATTATTGCAAGCAAAATTACGTACGTTGAGAACATGATTCGCCGTGCGCGTCAGACGCATGCGCAGACTGCATCACTTGTCACATGCATGTTATATTATTTGCATCTTATATTAATTCAATTTTTGGCACATCTCAGCTGCTTTTTGGCATTAATAATGTAGACATTACATTTTCCTTATTCATAATCATGAATTTATTATATTTTAATATTGCCTTAGCCTATAAGTGAATAGAAATGTTTGGCAAATTACAGTCTTCAATTGTTTTTAATGTCAAACTAAGCTTCAAATATTTTCAAGGGCAAACAATGATAAGCGTTTTTTTGTAATTTTTACCATTTATTTCTACAATCTAACTATATTTCTATAAATCAAAACATTCTAGAGAATTTCCCGAACAAACTTCATGAAGATTCATGAAAATCCGAATTATAGTTTAGGAAGATTAATGAAACTTACATTGTTACAGAAGAATTTTATATATAAGATATATATATATATATATATATATTTATATGTGTGTGTGTGTGTGTGTGTATTTATGCCAAGAAAATATGAACTAATGATAACTGATTAAATCAAAGGTTAAGGAGATTGATGAATTAGAGCGTTCTTTAGATGAAACATCTGCTAAGCGTACCCCCAGGTTACCTACAACGGTTAATAGCGGATCGAGTGAAGTTGCAGTACCTGAACGAGAAAAACTTGAACCAGCTGGTAATTTTCTTTTGGCAAACACAGCTTATTTTGAAAAATTAATGTCGTTTTTTTATAGGAGCCGATGGGACAATGGAAGTTTATGTATCAGCTTTGACTTCGCCACATAGGTTTTGGATGCAAATTTTGGGTCCTCAAGCTGCTGCACTCGATAACTTAGTGGAAACAATGACTGAATATTATAATAAAGAAGAAAACAGAGAGTTGCACACAATCATAAGTCCTCAAGTTGGTCAAATTGTTGCAGCCATGTTTAACGTTGATGGCAAATGGTACAGAGCTCAGGTAATAGTTTATCTATTATATAAGTGATTTATATATATATATATATATATATATAATATATATATATATATATATATATATATAATATATATAATAAAATTGTTTCTTGGGCATCCATCCAGTAATTAAAAAACAGTTTTAATGAAAAATGTTTTTATTTATAGAGAACATACGTTTCGGGTCTGGATTTGACCCATCTTCAGTGCTACAATTAAATAATTCAGGGTTACAAATTAAAAACAATATAAAAAAATACATAATTAACAGACAAAAATAAGTAAAACAGTGTATATGAAAAGTATATATGAAAAACAACCATAAAATAAACAATGTAAAGAAACTCACCATACAAATAAACTTTGAAAAACAACACAAAAACACAAAATTGCACGAAAAATAAATAAAAGTGAAATAAAAAATTGATGAAACGTCGAGTTATGAAAATTTTTAAAAAAATTGTAAAATTAAAATGAATGATATATTTTATTATAAAAAAGCTTATTCCAAACGAACATGTTGTTAGTTTGGAAGTTGTATTACGAGTGTGTACGAGAGTAAAATGTGTGCGAACGTGTTTGCGGAAAATACTGGAAACTGTATCGTCATTGGTGAGAGAACGGGATAGAGAGAATTTTGGTGGTTCCATATTACGAAGATTTTCTCAACGATCATGCGCAGTAGGAACATAGTAAAAAATTTATACATGTGCAAGACATCCATAATCAAATCCCAAAAATATGTGAATGAAGAGAAAATTATTAGGAAAAAGTATAGATATTAACAGAAAAACGATAATAGTTATGGAACGATAAAAGTTACATAAAAAATTATAACATAACATATATATGTATATATAAACGCAAAACAAAAAATGTAATATATGTATACACATACACATACACATATATGCATACACAAAAGAATATGTAGAATACATAAAAGAAATGTTAGGATGTATTGCGCATATTGAAAAAATTATTTGAAGCATCGCGGTAAATATTGCAAAGAGAAGCCGAATCAAATCGTTTGTTAATAGAAGGTAATATTTGTATGAAAATACTCTCAGCGAACTTCCTGCGTAAAATGTTAGATTCACGATGAATAACTCTTGGATTGGTGAAATTAAAAGAATGTTTAAATTTGGAGACATGCTCGGTGATCATGGTTTTATTTTGTTTTCTGTTCAAACTATTAAGTTCGTGTTGGCGCATTCTTTTTGAGAGAAATTGTGAAGTTTCTCCAACATAACAGCTTGAACAATCATTACAATCAATGACATATACGATGTTTGAAGTGCGGGAAATAGGGGTAGGAGTTTTTAAATTAGTGTATAAGTCTGAGAGAGTGTGTCCAGTCGAACACACTAGCTTCAGACCAACGGATGAAAAAAGTTTTTTCCATGAGTGGAAAAGGCAGTCAATGTACGGTAATGAGATGAAGGAATTGAGAGATAGTGAATTTTCAGGAGGCTTCACAAGGTTTTGTGAAATGATACTATTTTGTTGTGATTGGGAGGTAAATGAGGAAGCTGTACGGAATTTATTACGAAGAAAGGGTAATCTATTATTTATTACTGAGCGTAAAAGTTGTAGTGGATAGGAATTATTTTGAAGGGTAGAATATATCAAATTAATATTTTTTTCCCAATGTGATGGATGAGAAAGAAGGATGGCATGATCTAGTAAGTTGATGATGGATGCAATCTTGGTAGATTTGGGGTGATAGGAATGGTAGTTTAAATAGCGTCCAGACCAAGTGGATTTTTGATACCAACATGTAGTGATAGAGTTGTTATTTATGAAAAGAGTAATATCTAAAAAATTAATGGAGTTGTTAAATTGAGTCTCTAAGGTAAAACTAAGGTGTGAGTCAAAATTATTAAAAGAATTTAGGAAATTGGTTATGTTATAAGTAGGAATGCAAGTTAAAATGTCGTCAACGTAACGTTTGTAAAAAAGAGGTACATATGACAAGGTATTAAGAGTAGAGTTCTCTAGGAACTGCATACAAAGTTCAGCAAGAGGGGCACTCAAACTGGAACCCATTGGGGTGCCAAATTTTTGTTTAAAAAAGGAGTCGTTGAACGAAAAATAAGTATTGGAAATAATGAATTTAATACATTTCAGGAACCAAGAAAAATTGAAATCTGTGTGTTTGCTGATATCAGCCCATTTATGGTCTATGGCAGAGAGGATAAGGTCAGGTGAAATGTTAGTGAAGAGGGAAACAACATCTAAACTTATAAAGGAAAAATCAGATGGTACATTGAGGGAGTTAAGTTCGGGAATGAGTTCAAAAGAATTTTTGACAAAATGGGGAGAATTATGAGTGATATTGGACAAAATTGAACTAATAAATTTGGATAATTTGCAAAGAGGGGAATTTAAGTCAGCAACTATTGGTCGAAGGGGAAAGCCATCTTTGTGGATTTTGGGAAGACAATAAAGTTTTGGGGAAATGGGATTGTAAGTTTTTAATTGTAGAGAGAGAGGTTTGGGAATTTGTTGGTTTTCTATGAGTGAATCAATGAATTTCAAAGTATTCCGATTTATAAGGTCGGTGGGATCTGAATTTATAGGCTCGTAAGTGTTTATATCAGCTAGGAGGGACATGGATTTGGAAATATAGTCATCTTTGTTCATGATAACCGTCATGTTACCCTTATCTGCCCTGGTAACAACAATTTCTGGGTGTTGTTTGATAAAGGATTTGCAAAGGTGGATATCTTTGAGTAATTCTTTATGTTGATGAAAGTTAGAAATGTCAAATTTGAAAAATGAATTAAGTTGGTTGCAAAAAATAGATTTAATGCGGTTTTTTTCATTGATATCTTTTAAATTACGTAAACTATATTCTAAAGAGCTAAGTGTTTTGACAAAATTAAACGATTTTTTCTGTTGTGGAATGGAAAATTTGGGACCTAATGCTAAAATATTCAAAACATTGGATGGGATGTCTAAATCTGAAATGTTTTTAACCCATTTATTGATGATATCAGGGTTTATATTTAATTTGGATTCGTTAGACTTTTTCGAATAAAGGGTATTGAATTTTTTAATGAAGGATTTTTTTGACATATTAAAAGAATTATTGAATCTAGAGTTTTCGAAATCTAAAAAATTGTTAATGTCAATGTGATTATTAATAGTGGAAAATAAGGATTGGAATTGTTAAATTGAATTATTTAATTGTAGCACTGAAGATGGGTCAAATCCAGACCCGAAACGTATGTTCTCTATAAATAAAAACATTTTTCATTAAAACTGTTTTTTAATTACTGGATGGATGCCCAAGAAACAATTTTATTATATTATTTCACCATCTGAAGAAAAACCTCTCGCTTTATAATATATATATATATATATATATATATATATATATATATATATATATATATATATATATATATATATATATATATATATATATCAGCAAACCCGACGAACTCCGTTTCGCCACCAGATGGTTTCGTGAGAAAGATGAAGAAATTTTTTGTTTGTTTTATATTTGAAAAGTAAAAATTTGATCAGTAAGGAATGCCGACTTATTTTTATATATATAGGAGATAATCTATTTGCAATTATTTAAAACAATTATTGATTATTTTTATTACTCGAATTTTTAATTACGGTGCGTGCAGTTCCAGCAATTTGCATTAGGGCACGATGCCATGCACCACTAATTTTCTTAGCTATAAACCTTGCGGAGCCGAGACCTTTCCAACGAATGCAAAATTGTCGAAATCGGTTCGTGCGTTCTGGAGTTATTTCGTCAGGAAGGAAAACCCGATCTATTTATATATATAATATAATCTATTTGCAATTTTTTAAAACAACCCTAATTTTCTTATCTATAAACCTTGCGGAACCTGAGACCTTTCCAACGAATGCAAAATTGTCGAAATCGGTTCGTGCGTTCTGGAGTTATTTCGTCAGGAAGGAAAACCCGATCTATTTATATATATATAATATAATCTATTTGCAATTTTTTAAAACAACCCTAATTTTCTTATCTATAAACCTTGCGGAACCTGAGACCTTTCCAACGAATGCAAAATTGTCGAAATCGGTTCGTGCCTTCTGGAGTTATTTCGTCAGGAAGGAAAACCCGACTTATTTTTATAAGTATAGAAGATATATATATATATATATATTCGTTTGCGTTTCGTCCTTTGAGATGTGAGGTTCAAATTTATTATTTTTCTTTTTAATTAATTTTATAAATATAATTCGTTGTTTTTATTACAATTTTTTCATTATTATGTCTCTAAGTAAAAATTTTTATTTGTAACATTTTGTTTAGTGTTTAGTGCATATTTTGTTGTGTTCTTCTATGAACTGAAGAAGAGTCAAATTGGGACTCGAAACGTATGGACCATTAAATTTACCTTAACAAACAAAATATAGTTTTCTCTATCTTTATTATCTTGAAAAAGTTTATAGTTTTATCAACATATTTATTACCATTCGAAAAAATTATCACATACAGGGCCGGATTTAGAAATTTGGCGCTCTGGGGCACCGACAAAAATGCCGCCCCATCCCTGAAATTTTACTTAAATAGTTTTTATATCTCTTTTTTTTCATACTGATCGCACATTGTAGTCTAACCGGTAAACACTGGTAGAGGGAACCCATAAAATGTAAACAAAAATTGTTGTTAGTGAATAATCTCTATAAAATATCTGATAATTTGTTGTGCCTATGCCTATGATCATTTGTGACCGCCGATTTTTTTTTTATTGGATTTCTATCAAATATCGGCAACCCCGCGCTCCTAATGCATTCAAATTAATGGTTCAAAATTTTAAATGAAAAATAATGAATTTTAATCATCGGTTATTTGAACCTAAATTTTGCATTACAATCGTATTATGTTTTGTTAATTATCTCGAAATGAAAAATGTTATTAAGAAGAATTAGTAAATTATATTGTATAGAATTTTAGTCTCACTTTCCAAATTTTGTCGTCCCAGAAAATTTGCTGCACTGGGCACTATCTTCGACTGCCCCTACTGTAAATCGAGCACTATATATATATATATATATATATATATATATATATATATATAATAATATATATATATACAATATATATATATATACAATATATATATATATATATATATATATATATATTATTGATTAACTTACATATTGTCATATTTTTGGGTCAATATTATTAGTACCTATTAAAATAACTTACTTCATTGTTTATTAGTAATAAGTTCTATGACTCAACTTTTTCAGGTACAAGAAATAAAACCCAATGATTATGTTCCATGTCAACCAGTGTTGGATTTGTATTTTGTAGACTATGGTGATAATTGTTATGCTGCGCCTAATGAAGTTTTTGAACTACGGCCAGATTTTTTGACTCTTAGGTTTGTTTATGGCATAATACTGTTTGTTGCTTATGTGGCACCTATTTTATATTTATCTTTCTATTTTAATTTCTTCATACTAACTTTAGATTTCAAGCTATAGAGTGCTTTTTGGCGAATGTTAGTCCTCCCAATGCAGTTGATAGTAATGATAACAATTATCCAGATGAATCCATTGAGAAGTTTGAGCAACTAGCACATGTAAGTTTTTTTTACTGACAGCTAAAGAATTGCATTTATCACTTATGTACACACACACACACACACACATATATATATATATATATATATATATATATATATATATATATATATATGCAGTGTGTTCCGGACCTTGGCATCAAGCCGAAATGTGGTGAAAGTATTGATCTTAACCATCCTGAAAAATTTTAGAAAAAAAAACTATGTCACGTTGTTTGAAAATTATGAGCTTTTAAGTGCAACCTATTGCTTTGGTGAAGTTATGCCAATGTCTTGGTTGTGATTAACTCTTATTAATTTTGGTTATTTAAACTTTGGAACCGTAACTGTGAATAACATTTCTAGGACCACAATTTTTATTGTACAATAACTTGCCACTCGAAATTCTTCATTACTGAAGTGTTATCAAATACATATCAGAAATATTATTCACGGTTACAATTCCAAAGTTTAAATGAACAAAATTAATAAAGGTTAACCATAACAACCGTAAAATGGTCATAATTTCATCAAATCTCTAGGTTGCACTTACATGCTCATAATTTCCTAAGAATGTACGATAATTTCCTTTTTCTAAATAATTATAGAACAGTTATGGTCAATACTATCACCCCGTTTCGGCTTGACGTCAAGGTCTGGGACACTATGTATATCATTGATTATCTTTATTAACAAAAATGATATTAATTAAACTTAACATTTTTTTCAGGTTGCGCGTTGGAAAAAATTATGGTCGCGTGTTGTTAGCTACAGAGAACGTGATGGGGCAGTTCGAGCACCATCTCCAAGTGAAAGCCTGGTTATGAAGGGATCTAACATTGATAGATCAGTTCGTGAAGGCTCTCCTGTACCTGGTGTAGAATTATATGATAATGAGGATGGTGGGTCAGATTATTTTTACATCTCCAAATTTTATGAATGCATCCATTTATAAAATTTGCACAATATTATATTGTAAGTGAACATATAGCATTTGAATGAATTTGTTTACATGTCAATTGACATTGTATCTTCCTCCTCTAATGTAATCGTCATTGTGAGTTTTTTTTTCTAGAATAATTATTTTATATAATGCCGGTATTTTTTTTTCCTAATATACTCTCACATTCATTTTACGTATGAGACAATCAGTACACACACTGACTAACTCCACTTTTTGAAGAACTTAAATTTCAGAGCGAAAGTAATAGGTATAATTATAAAATTTTGTATTTTTAATAATTTTCCGGAATACTAAAAATTAGTACCATTGAACGGTAATTTTTTTTGGACACTGAATAAAAGGTCAATTATTTTAGAAGCAATTTCTATTAACTCCATTTTGTAATGTATATGCTTTGGCTTGGTCAAATATGGTTTTTAAATTCATGAATTACGGATGTCAAGAATTTAGTAAAAATATAAACTGTATGTTTGTTTGGCCAAAAACTGTAGGGTCTCTTGGAACTCAAGGAATTCATCTTTTTAACTTCCACGGATCAACCGATTGGAAATTATAAGTATGAACCTTTGACCTTACTCAAGGAGCGCTTATTTATTTATTACATACATATACTTATGTTGCTTTTTAAATAGAAAATTCAATTAAAAATAAAATGTTGTTTGGAAATAATTATTTATTTTTGACGTTTTAAAACTAGGTACGGTTCTATAGTAAGATTATCTGACGAAATGAAACATACCTGGTTTCAAAATGTCGGGAATTATAAATTATTTTTCAAAAACATTTAATTTGAATTTGTATTTTTCTAGAAACACAATGTATATGTATAATGTGTTATTGAAAATTTCACGCAAAAATTTTATATTTTAAATACACTTTGCTGTAAAATATCATGAGCTTTATTGATTTTGCAATAGGCATCATTTTATGTTTTTCTGTGTGAAAACAGGTCGCGATATAAATATTGCTGAAGAATTAATTCGCGGAGGATATGCAAGAGCAATTCTTCCATTTAATGGAAGTTCATTCAATAAATTGAAAACTAATCAAGCAGGAGGCGATGATTTTTCGAAGCCATCAGCCAAAACGACTAGATTTGAAGATAGTTCTAAAACTGATAAAAATAGTGTATCTTCTGATTTTGTAAATCAGGAAAAATCAGCAACGAAGAAACAACCGGCAACGACACCAAATGTTGGCCGTAAAGACATCGTGGAAGAAACTAAATCCTTTATTAGCGGAATCTCTGATGAGGCAGTTAAGGTAGTAGAACGCGTCAAACAGTCTACCGACAAAGGCGCTGATGACTCTGTTCAATCTGTCAAGGATCGCGTTGCTAAAGTTCAAAGCAAGCTGGAGGAAACGAAATCTTTCATTGATGGCATTTCCAAAGACGCTGAAAAAATAGCAGTAGACAGTAAAAACGCCGCTAAATCAACTTCAGATGATATTAAGCCAAAAGTAAAAAGCGCCAAGGAACGCGTAGCTAATAAAGTTAACAATGGCAAAATTTCAGAAAAAAGTCCTCCAAAAACGAGTAAAAATGATGAAAAGTCAAGTAGTCCTAAGTCACCTTTAAAATCAGAAGTTGATTTTATGCCCACATTTAATAAAACTGAAAAGGGTAAGAAGATGCCACAGTCTCCTTCCGAAATAAAAAATCAAGCAACCGATTTTTTGAAAACCGAACGCAATTCTAAAAACGGAATTTAATTTCATAAGTTATATTTAAAAATACGTTTCATAAATCAGCTTTTGTTATTATTAGAAGTATAAAGCATTGTATAATTTAACATGTTATTGTAATTAATATTTGTAAATAATTATTTATATTATTCATATTCTTCGTGTTCTCTGAGTTGCTTTAGTATATAATAACGTTTAGTTCAGTAAATTATCTATTAATGATTTATTATTTTTTTCTATTTATATTAAAAAAATTCATGCATTTCAACATTCGTGACATATCATTAATGTTTATCAAAATGTAGGATTGTTGTTAGGTTGCCATTAAAAAGCAATGTATATTCTTCAAACATCTGTCAATTAATTAAAATTCATATATGAATATATATATATATATATATAATTATATATATATATATATATATATATATAATGTGCCATTTTTATTTATATAACATTTATAGCTTCATTTTCTAAGAAGCACAGCTTTTTATGAGTTACGATTACAATCAATTAGAAATCGTGTCAAATTTTTTTTATAATGTTATTTTACGCAAAGCTGTGAAATATTTTCTATTTCTACCTAAAATATGAAATATTTTGTTGTGTGAAAACTAGTAGTTTAGCCAATTTGCAACAATTTTTGTGTATTAAGAAGTTTTAGAAACCCATTTTGGGATAGTTTAAAGCAAATACCTCTTTTGCAAATGAAATTTACTCCTTGGTTGTGATTAATCATTTATTGCTTGCACATGCTATTCTATTGAAATATACAACTTTGTTAGGTAGTTGATCAATTCTTTGTTTGTTGTTTCTAAACATTATGCAGTTACCTTAGTAATTTCATGGGTAGATTTTTGCATAATATTTTGTAAGAAGAATTTATAAATTTTTATGTACTATTAATTGTAATTTGCAATTAATAATTGTAAATTTGTTAGTACAAACATATAAAACTTTAAAGTGGAAAGTTTAATTGATTATATTATTATCAAATCATATTTGATTTTCCAGGAGTTTGTTCAACATTATGTATGTTTTTAGTTTAGACTAATGTGAAGTTTTCTTATAGCGTCAAGTTGTAAGTTACAGAAGATTTTTAACAAAATTTGGAAGTATTGACTTTTGTTAAATAGTTTTAAATAATCTTGCTTAGTATGTGATTCGTGTAGTTTTTGTTGAAATATTTCAATAATTGAACATCCTTCGTCATGATGGAAATATTTAAAAAGTTTTAGTATACTTATTTCTTTGAACAATCAAAATGATTTTGACGTTTTATTTAGTTGTATATTCTTAGTTTAACATTAATTATATCAAGAGTGATCTGTACTTTCTTCCTTTGTTACTAATGTAAATTATTCTGCTTTGTTATTCAAGTAGCGCAAATTCACACAACAGAATATTTTTGCATGGACAATTTTTATACACTAAACAAAGGGAAGTAATTAATGTTGTTAACTTCGACAGCTCAATCATTTTGGTTACTGTTATGTGTATTTCTTTATTATATATAATTAAACTGTAGTTAAATCATTATCATATCACATCATGAACATTAATATTATAGCGCATCTCTTTCATATAAATAACTCTTTGTGATTATTTAAGCTATAAAATGTGCCTTAGTAAATTATAAAAAATGAATTATAATATATTTGAAATTTTCATATATAAGATTGTTAAAAATTAAATATATTTATTAATTGGAAAGTAAGGCGTTGGATATGTATAGTTTTATTAAATACGTTTGCTTTTTGCTTGTAATATGATTTTGCCAAAAATCATTGTTATACTCATAACATGTAGTATGATTTATGAATATATACTTTCTAAAATAAAAAGTTTTATTTACATTTTCTTCAATTAATTTGTCATCCGCGCCAGATTCAATACTTTCTTTAATTTCACGCAAGACTGGTCACAGGTTTGTCTTTTTTTGTTTGGTATTATTTTACATTTGGTCATAGTAGAGTACATATATAAATCTTTAGCGTGGTAAACGCAAATCAATATACTTGGAGCACTCACTGTTTATAGATCTACATCGCGGAGAAATCGACACGTACTAAATCAAAATGAAAAATGTGAGTGTTGTGAAGAATTACACCAGTTCATAGTTCTATTCTATAATGTCTTTAATTTATTTGAATTTTCAGATAATTGTGGCATTCGTTTTGTGTTTGTTGGTGGATTATTTGACCTGCTTGCCATTACATCCTGAAGAAGATGCTGCAACTGCAGGTTAGTAAGTTGTCAATCAGCAAATAGTTCATCATCGAAGTTCTCTTGTATAGTGTCGTAGTTATTAACCTTCTGAAGGACAAGTTTGTTTTATCAAGAAATTCCAATTTGGTAACTTTGTTTTCTCTGATGTTTTAAGTCATTCTGAATCGAATGAGACCGAATTTGTAGAAATTATGTGTGTGTGCATGTGAACCGATTTTGACCTCTTGCCGACGATTTCTCAAAAACGGCTAAACCTAATTAAAAAATTCAAAAGCCTTTCGATGCAACCAGTTTTGCGCGACGATCGGCTGAGCGATAACATGTGGTATGGTTATTAAATACTTCTTCATGATTAGCAAAAAAAGTGTAAAAGTTTTTGTGCATATTTTAGCCCACAATCCTGAATCGATTTCAAAAATTCAAAAACCGTTTGAAAGGTATTGGTTGGGAATGGTGCTGATTAATTTTTGGTAACGATCGGCCAATTTGTTTTCTTGAACTGTTAAAGTTGATAGTTATCATGGTTTTATGGAACGAACTTGTATTAAGGCCATACGAGCAGTCGTTTAATTTTAAAAATTCATTGACGTTTTAAAAAATAAACAGAGCTTTTTTGATGTGAGACAGAATTAGACCGATTTAAAAAATTTAGAAACCATTCGATGAAACTTCATAAGCATTCGCATTGGTTAATTTTTTGATAAGACCGGTTTCTTTAGAATCACTAGAAAGTATATATTTTTTTATCCACGAGTTAGCCAACAATTCTGAATTGATTTTGAAAAATCAAAAACTATTTGAAAGGTATCATTTGGAAATTGCTCTGATTAGTTTTTGATAGAGATGGGCCCAGCCATTTCTTTGTAATTGGTTGTTAAAAAAATGTTTCGACGATTAAATGAATTTTTGTATGGCGATGGAGCACCTGGTTTTAATGGATATGTTTATATATTACAGTCCTACAAAAAGTGGTTCGATTATGAAAAATAATTAAAATTTAAATTAATCGGCCGCGCTTTTAGAAAATACTTTGTGTATGTATTAGACGTTTATTTTTCAAAATGTTAAATTAAATAAGCTGCAATTATTTCTCACAGTATAAAACTCTATACTGATAAATCATTCATAAATTATATATTATTGATTTCTTATTGATTAAGTCGATTAATTACACATGTCGGAAAGTTCATTCAACTTGGCTTAAGGCAAAATGCCACTTACAACTAGTTTTTTGTTCGTGTGCTCACGATTGAGCATACGATTGTGTTACCTGCACCGCTAATGCACTGTTGAGCATGGTTTATATTAAAATTGTGTACAGAAGTTCATTTGTCATTCATACTTGAAGACATGCTTCATAAACCTAGTAGTCATATTTCTTTGAAAATAATTATTGTAAACCATAAAAAATAACGATTTTTGGAGCAGTTCCCACGCGATAAATAGGATTTTCAAAGCGGTCAACGTGTTAATGGGGTCGTACTTTGTGTTTACTTATGTGTTAACTCAAAAAAAAATCAACGATAATTTATTAGCTATTAGCTAATTATCAAATTGTATGGAGGGTATCGGTAATTATTATGTAACTAAATGTATTGAGGCAAGTGGCAGAAGATTTATTTGTATTTTTTCAACTAGAAGTACTATTTTCAGCTAATAGTATTATTTTTTTATTTCGTTTTCTTATGGGGGTGGGGCGGATAATAATTATGAAAAATTTTCAGTGTAAATTTCTCTTTTAATCGATGCTTTTTATTATATAAATTACATATGGGTGCGACCATGACTTTTATCGATTATTATTCATAAAATAGGTTGATGGCGTTTCTTAATTAATAAGTTTAAAAAACTCTCATTGCAAATATTTGATCATCTTGAACAAATGGTTATCAAAATAAAATGAATTCGAAAATGAAATATTTGTATTTTGCACAAAATGTAATAATACATTTCTAGCACTTATGCTTTTAACATCATACTTTTTGCTTTTTGAAGAGCCACACAAGGTTGAAACTAGTTAAGAATTTCGAAACCCTCATGGCTTATTCAAATTCAATCTCTTTGGCTTTACTACAGTATATTATACATGTAACCCCTTGACTTACAGCTACAATGACGACCAAACTAGAAAGGCCAAACGTAAATATTACGGGCATAGCCCGCGTATGACAATCGGTCCAGAAGCAAATATTACGCATTATGGGCATGGCCCGGTACGGCAATCGCGAGTATTGCAAAATATTTATTCATACAAAACTCCAAAATACAAAATTATTTTTATGTTTGTGATGTACACAGTGTGATAAAATAGTCACGAACGCTAGCGCCAGCTTGTACAACTTTGACCCACCATTTTTGAATCTGAACCGTAAGTTATGGGGTTTATTATCCATTTGAATTGATTAATTCGAGCCAATTGATTTTTGTGTTTTTTGTAGTGAACTTATTAACGATTCATATTAGCAATTAGTGTGGTGATATGTTTTTTTTTTGCTTATTCAAAGCAATTGATCTGATTTGGACGTTACAGAAACATCTGATGCTCCACAAAATGAGAGGTATTACAATTCCCATGAAAGTTTAAGAGAAGCCGATGCCATGTATGCTGATTTCGGCGCTAGCACCGGAGACAACGGCAGCTTCGGATGGCACGCAGAATTTCCCGTAAATGCTGGATATTAGAGCAGTCATTCGATTCTTTTTATTAAAATATAATATACAAAGCATTTTTCAATTGACTGAGGATAAGGAACAAAACTGAATAAAAGGTCGTTGTCACTTGGGTGAATATTTATAAT